CCCTCTTTATCCGCGGAGTTCACAGAATCTCCAGGTTCTTTCCAGTAAATGCAAAGATATTTCTAGAAATTTCATTCAGGGGCCTGAGCCGCGGCTCAGTCTGTAGAGGACCTGCCTGGTGGCTTCCAGTCTCAGTACCTTCTAAACTGCAGTTGGGAGGTGGGAGCAGAAGGACCAGAAGTTTAAGACCAGCATTTCAGCTACCCAAGACCCATCAACCAATAAAATGTCCCTTGACACAAACGCACTGCTTAGTACCTTTAGTGACTGACAGTCCTCCATGCCACCGCATAGGCTCTTGGCATAGCTGACACTAGTAGGGGAAGAAGAAAATGACTTCTCCAATTGGGCCACTGTGTACTCTGAAGGGGGTGCTGGGATGTAAGATGAATGTAGCCCTTGGAGTCAGACTGGTTGTGTTTACACCAGTCTTCAGCACTTACTGTGTGGCCTTGGGAAGGCTGAACTTCCCCGATAATAGGAGTTGAGCACTGTCAATCCAAGGGAAGCTTCCAGCCCTACCTGCTCAGTGTCCTACTTGATTGGTTGGCTTTTTGTTTTGTCTTGTGAGGTGCTGTGGATGGAACCCAGGGCCTTGAGCAAGGATTTTAACACTGCTCATGAAGGCAGATTCTTTGGCGGAGGGAGCACATGAGCTACAGTGCCCAAGTGCCAGTGCAGGTCAGAGGGCAGCTTGTCACAAAAGGGGAAACCACCTAGTTGCTGAGTAGTCCCACTGAAATACTCTGTAGGTGGCCAGTGGTACTGTTCTGGCCAGGCGCATTGAAGAGACCCAGGCCAGGCCTTGCTTGATCTACCTCTGGCTTTCTGTTACACGCCTGCAGCTGGGATCCTTCGGCCTACAGCTGAGCAGCAGAGTTCTGCCCGCTGACTTCTGAGAAAAGGCAAACTTACCAACCCCCAAACCCGAGGGCTATTTTACCTCCTCCCAAGCTTTCCCTGCAGACTGGGTGTGGGCAGCAGGCTGCGCCTAGCTCTGGACTCTGCCCCTGGGAGTGGTTCTGGGTCTTCACTGGTCTGGACAGCTGGACAGAGGGGGTACAGGTGGCAGAAGTCAGGATGGCACACAGTGCCCAGATCAAAGAAGCAGATCTTCCACCGTTTGCCTGCAGCTCACAGGGCACTTCTACACTCCAAAGTGACCTTCACACAGGTGCGTTAGTGCGCAGGGCAGGGTAGGTGAGACTCCCTTCCTGAAGGGAGGAAACTGACTTGAAGTTGAAGGGAAGCTGGGCAAGGCAAGGTTGCACAGCCTGCTGGGCTCTGGGTTCCAAACCCAGGCACTCTGGTCCCAGGGTTTAACAGCTTTGTCAACCTGAGAAAACGGAGTTCTCTTAACTCCTGAGTAGCTTTTTTTCTCCCGACCCCCACCCCATTTGTGAGGAAAAAAAGACTACCTGTTCTCACGTAGCTGAGGTTGGGATTAACCTCCACATCTGGTCTGTAGAACCAGGTGAGGAGGATAGTTTAGCACATAAAGGCTAGTCTAGAAAAACAACACAACACACCCACAATTCTGGACACTGTCTCCACAAAAGAGGTGCAATAGAGACCCTTGCAAAGCCAGAGCAGGGCCCCTCCCTACTTAGGGGTTGCTATGACACCATGTGATAATTATCCCTTATGCCCCTATTTTGTGAGAGACACAGTAGAAAATCTTTGTGTACACCAAAGGCGACCTTCATTACCACTCGACAAGGACTTGTGGCGTTAAGTCGATTTTTCACAAAAGCACTGAGCTCCCCCTCCACTCTCAAAGAAGAGACTGGGGCTATTGGAAGGGGAGTAAACAGCAGGTCGAGATTTCACACCTCTTCCAACCCGACTCCTGCAGGCGCTGGAGCAATGGAGATCCGGAGTCGTCACAGTTCGTACTCCGCAGGGACCGAGGAGGATGAAGGGATGGAGGAGGAGCTCAGCCCCTTTCGGGGCCGCTCGCGTTCGGCTCCCCCTAACCTCTGGGCCGCGCAGCGGTACGGCCGTGAACTCCGAAGGATGAGCGATGAGTTTGAGGGTTCCTTCAAGGTGAGCGCCTGCGTAGGCTGCGACGGGACCTATACTGGCCTGCCCCTTCTGATACCTAGGGCATGTCGGGATTTGTAGTTTTAGGTCCACCGGGTTGGCCCTTTCGTATTCCGAGGTATGCCGGGATTTGCAGTTCTAATCCGTCCCCTGTTACTTGTGTCCGGTGACTTGCTGGCCCGACTTGTAGTCCAAGGATTTCCTCCCTCTTTCTTTGCCCAAAGCCCCGCCCCAGCCCCGGTACTTGTCGGCACTTCTAGTTTTGACAGCCAGACCACTAAGAAAACCAGTATTGTCTGGGATCTGTAGTACAGACTTACTTCAGACCGAAGATCCTGAATCTCCGAGGTTCGTAGAGCACGAGGCTTGGTAGTATCTGAGCCTCTCCTCAGCTTCTGAACCACTTCAACTTCTTGAATTCAGCCCCATCCTCTTAACTCTAGGTCTCTGGCTTTGAGGTTTCATTTAGGGTCCCAGCAGTTTCTGGGCTCCAATCAATCCCGATTCCTAAGAGCCTACTCATCTTGTAGTGTCTCTGACCGCCCAGTTCAGAGCAAGCTGGTGGCGGTGGTCTTTATATTCCAACTCAGAATGTGGGGACTTGGTCGGGATGCCAGGGTAAGGCTCGCTCATACAACTCTTTTCCTTCCCTGAAGGGACTTCCTCGCCCAAAGAGCGCTGGGACTGCCACACAGATGCGACAAAGCGCTAGCTGGACGCGTATTATCCAGTCCTGGTGGGATCGAAACTTGGGCAAAGGAGGCCCCGCCCCCTCCCAGTGATCTGCTCCACATTCCCGGAACTGTACCAGCTCTCGTCACCCGCCATGTTGGGTGTGGGCGGAAGTCCGAGCCTTGGGGATAAAAAGAGGATCGCTGTGTCCCTTCAACAGGGTGAAGAGCTGGCGAACAGCTCGAGTCGCTTCCGGTGCGTGCAATAGCCACGAAGGGGTGGTTCTTGTTGGGAATTCTAAAGTTTCCGCACCCCCTCCCCACCCCAGCTTCCGGAAGTGGCAACTTTTCCCTCTCCGGTAACAGGCCGCCCTCAGGCGCCTGCGCTAAATTGCGAGCCGGGGTAAACCGTGACTCGGCTGCAGCCCTATCAAGCAAATGGTTGCAACAAACCTGCTTTATAATAAAGCCCGCGCCTGTGCTGTCGCGTCTGTCTTTCGTTGGGGTTCCAGAAACCGGATTATTATTTCTGATAGTTTTAAGAAACTCATTTTACTTGTAAGGGAAACAGGCTCTGTCCAAGGATTGAGACCGAGAAGTCGAGGCGACCAGGAAGCCCGGCTGCTAAGCTTTGGGGTGAAGGAGCGGATCGTGGCTAGACCCCTGGGACAGCCAGGCCCTTATCTCTAATATGGTAATTGGGAGCTGCAGGCCAGACGGCCGCCGGAATTCAGCTTTCTGCAAACCGTGCCGCGGTTCCCCCGGGGCGGGGGGGGGGGGGGTCATTTGCTCCTATTTGGGTCAGTCCTTGTGAGCAGCTACTGTGTGACCGGCTTGGGGCCAGCGCTGCCGAGGGACCTGGCAGGGCACACGGGGCGGGGCGGCACGATCACTAGGGAACGGAGAAGCTTCTCACGGGGACCTGGAGCTGGGCCCAGAGCTCAGTTCAGAGATTTATTGGCGCCCCTATAGCCCAGGCCAGTGCTTTGCGCTGGTTATGCAGATAAGTTGCGCCACAACCCTGCTTCCCGGAACGTGGGATGGGGCGGCAACCATAGCAGGGCCTCAAGGAGTAGGTCAAAAGGTGAGGCTGTGTCTGGGACTGTCACTGTCAGCAGAGGGACACATCAGGATGTTGGGAGTTAGCTTGTTTTTGAGGACCCCAACTCAATCAGTGTTTGGGAAAATGAAGGTCAGTCTGCCAGCAATACAAGACATGAAATATGGAGAAGTGACAGACCTGGGAACAAGATACGGTCTGACAGTTGAAGAAGGTGGCTTGGGCAATGGTAGGAATCCCATCTCAGAGAGTAAAGGCCTTAGCCCTGGGAAGCCCAACCCTGGCCACCCAGTTTCTCTGGCCTTCCTACCCGGATCTGTTTGCCTGCGGCTGCAACAAAAACAAGGCAAAGAAAACACTTCATTGGCAGGAGATAAGCCCCGATAAGAGGCTGCCTTCCTCTGGAGGGAGCAGTCAGTCCCCAACGCCAGGAAGCTGGGAGAGGCCTTGAAGAAGTGCCAGCCTGCCTCTACTGCTGGGCCTAGCCCATTCTCTTGCCACAGGGTCTCTGGTATTCCTGGCTGGTCCCAGGCTCAGAGCAGGTTCTCCAGGCTGGTGAAGACCATCTAGCACAGAGCTAGCATGTAGGTCATCCTGCCTCCTGGCAGGTCTCCACTTAGCTACAGCCCAGTACACGCAGCTTCCATTCAGGACCTGTTTCCATATCTGTAAAACAGGCAAAAACATCTCCCTCACAGGAGTGAGGGGGCCATGGGATATCCACAGAGTATCATAGCCCCTGCCAGCAACAACCCTTAAGACTGCCAGCTTCCTTCATCCTAAGAGCCATGGACCCCTTCCCAATCTGACAACTCGGCTCCAACCAGCCACCTCATCCCTGTGTGGTGCCCTCAGTAGCCCTGGCAGGAGATGCTGGGTGCTTGGGGCATATCAGGCAACAGGAAGGGAGGCAGGAAAGGCTTCCTGGCGCAAGGTCTGAGCCCGAGCGAAGAGATGGAAAAGCTGAGGGAGAAGAGAGTGATAGGGCTGGGGAACCAAGGTGCTCAGGGCAGGGGCAGAAAGCTCAAAGCCACCTCTGGCAGGGAATGAGGTCACCACAGATCTTGGGCAAGGCCACCAAGTTAAAACCTTGAAACTTTTGCTAGGAGTCTAACCACAATGGCACAACCCCATTTTATAAACGAGGAAACTGAGGCCCCAGAGGAAATGGCAGTAATTGAGCTAGAGCCTAGAACGCTTTCATCCAAACCACACTGTGCACAGGGTCCCTCAAGTCCACTTTTATTCACGTAAAAAAAAAATCCCAAATATAAAGGGTTGGCCTCTACTTCCCAGAGCTCCACCTACTGCTCCCTGGAAGTGGGGGAACACCCATCTTTGTGAGTGCGATGGCATACTAGTCCCAGCCTTTTCCTAGGCCTGAGGTTAGGGAGGCTGAGGACTAAAGAGGCCCCAAGAAAATGGAGTTAGTGTGAGGCATTTGCTTCAGATTTTAAAAAAATAAAATTTCTAAAGATAAAAGGTTAAAAAAAAAGCATTAGTGTCTTCTACCCACTGCCCAGTGCCCACCCCAGTCCTGGGGCCACCTCTTGTTCAGCCAATTTAGAGTTGGGTGTTCTCCTCCTGGCTCTCCGAGTCAGCGCCGGACAGGTGCCCACCACTCGCAGGTGCATGACCATTGCTGGCACAAGCCACCTGGGGGCCATCCCCCAGCCCCTCTGATGTCTCGCCTAGCAGGCATCGACGGGTGTCCTGGGGCAACCTCTCACGCTGCTCCCGACACTCCTGGGTCAGCTGGGCCAGCAGCTGCAAGAGGATGAGTGTCCAGAGGGGCCAGGCTGCCCAGCTCCTGTGCTACCTGCCTGTCTGCCTCCTCCCTGGCTCACCTTGGGCTCCTCTTCCACTAGCTGCTGGAGGACTTGCTGCTGCCCTGCTAGGAGGCGCTCATGGCGCTGCTTCTGGGCCTCTTCCAGCTGCAAGGGAGGGCAGGAGTTCAGCTGCAGGAGGGCCAAGACCTGGGAGCACTGAAATCAGGGAGCAGGGCAACGGGACTCCCAGGACACTTAAGGTGTTAGATACGACGCAGGCACCAGAGGTTGTTGGTACAGACCCTGGAGGAAAGGCATTAGGAGCCTTCTGGAGAGCAATATGGCACCAAGCCAGACATGGAAGAGTGGAGTTTTTGATGAGTGAAGGAGAGAGGTGGGGCTCACTCACCCGTCTGATAGAGTTGACTGACTCAGTGATATGCCGCCGATTAATCTCTGTCAGTTCCCTACAGAGGGGAAAGGGATGGCTCCGTGCCCAGGCATCTCCCTTCTTCCCCTCACTCAATGGCTCCCAGCCCCAATGCACTTACACCTCCTTCTTATGCTTCTCTCTCGTCTTGGCCTCTGAGATACTGTTGTTGCGTTTTCTGTCCAGGATCTTCTGAAGCTCCTTCTTCTCCCTGGAGCAGCAAGAAGGGACAGGAGGGGGTCAGAGGCAGGACTCCTGGCACCAGAGTCCCACCGCACGCACACAGGACCTTCTGTCTTTACCTTTCATTCAGCTCCTTCAGTCTCTTGAACTGGGTTGTGTGTGCATCCAGGACAACCTCCCTGAGCCGCTGCTGAGCCTGGGGACACAGGCAGCCAGCCAGCAGGTAACACAGGGCTGACAGGTTTACCCAGGAAGCTGGTTCTCCTTGCCTACACCACAGGCCCCTCTCACCTGTCTGAGGTGCTCCAGCCTTCGTTCGGTTTCTGCATCGGCCTGGGCCTCCCTCAGCTCCAGCAGGATCTGTACCTTTTGGTTCTGGAACTCTCGATACTCCTTAATGTCTTCAGGTTTGCTGACTCTGTAGGGAGAACATTCTCAATAATGCCATGTCCCTGGCATAGGAGGACAGTTAAGAGCGGGATTCGTGCCAGCAGGCAGTGGCAGGCACCAGCCAGGTGAGGTCTGCTATGCAAATCAAGAGGACCAGCAGGGGCCAGCAGCTATACCGTTAGCTTTACACAGGTGCCGGTTCCTGCTTCTTGGCAGGGGACTTCAGATGAGATGTTCCTCTCAGGGAAGAGTGAGGACCAGTATGGGAATCTCTCTCCACCTTCCCGTCATCCAAGCATGCCCACCCAGCATGGAGAGCCACATGCACACCTCCCTCCACAAGGTGGTACCAGGCTTCAGGGCACTCACGGGGCACCGGGGGAGGGCCGGCATCTGCCCTCAGCCCTGGCCTGCGCCAAACCATCCAGAAGGCGGCGGGTGAGGGCCACAGTCTTGCGCTGGTGCTTTTTCTGCAGCTCCCTCAGGTCTCGATCCTGTCGGCTCTGGAGCTTTACCATAGCCTTGTGGTTTCGGAGCTCCTCTAGAGAGGTAGGGGTCACCTCTAAAAGGGAGAGGTGTAGGTAGCAAGCAAAAAGGAGTCAGGGTAGCAGGTGAGGTGGTCTGGTCATGACCGAGATGGGTGCGGTAGATGCCCTCCAGGTGGCCCCACCCCAGATCAGGCTGTATCCCTTACCAGAGAGGATGCTGGCAATCAAATCATCTCGCTGCCCTGGAGAGCAGAGGCTATGGTGAGAAGCTAAGAGCCAGCAGCACATGGCTCCCCTTGGCCCACTCCGAGGACAAGCTTCCCCTTACCTGGGCTACTGAGGGAGGTGCTAGTGGGGGAGGTAGTAGGACCTGGGGGCCAGCGAGGTGAGGCATCCAGTGGGTTAGGTGTGGGGTTGGGCAAGAACTGTGACCCTGGTTGTTGAGACTGCGTCTCCTGATATGTCTCTGTACTGGCCTGAGCCTGCAAGAGAGAAAACTCTTTCCAAAAATGTTTTCTCCATCTCTGGGTCCTTCCACCTCTGGATGCCCTATACCCCTACCAGCTCCCTCTGCCTGCACAATAAAAAGATAAACAATAGGCAGACCCTTGTCCACGCCAGCCAGGAAAGCTGTGTGTTACCAGATCACTGCATGTCCTCAACAACTCCCAGATGATTCTGGAAAAGCCTGGCCTGGCCCCAAGAGTCCTCTGCTGTGTCCCTCCCACCCTTGCCTGGTGGTCCGTCCTCCCCCTGGATGCTCAGCTCCCAATTTAATCAGCAGAGGAAGCAACAGCAGAGCGGGCACCAGTCTCTTCAACTAATAGCTCCTCACAGCCCTAATTGCAGTCATCTCTTTCCTGGCCGCCACAGGCCCCATGGGGATCGGGTCAGGACATGTGGCTGAACCTCTGCTCCTGGTGCTAAAGCCACTACCTCCTCATGGCTTCCCTGACTTCCAATGCCCCTGTGTACATATACTCAAATTTTTGATTCCATGTAAAGCTTGAGAAACTCGAGCCTAGACACAACCCAAATCAGTGCAAATGGGTACATCCTCTTCCAAGAACCCACAGCTGAGCTGAGGGTATAGCTCAGTGGGAGAGCTTTTGCCTGGCCTGCTTAAAACCCTGGGCTCCATCCCTATCCAGCACTGGAGGGAAGGAGGGAAGGGACTGGAAAACTGACTGACTCAACAAGCTTGCCATAAAAACATGAGGACCTGCGGTCAGACCTCCTCATGTCTATAACCCCAGGGCCACAGTGGACAGAGACAGGCAGATCCCTGAAGTTTCCTGGCCAGCTGCTCTAGCTCAATGAGAGACCCTATCTGAGAAAATAAGGTGGAGCGTGACTCTGGAAAACCATGTGCACATATATGTGAACACGTGCAAACATGTTTACATACGAAAGCAAAAACCCACAGCCCTCACGCCTGCTGCAAATCAGCCAAAGCTCCTGAAAGTGCAACATGGCAGAAAGGTCAAGCTGGAAGCCCAGCCGGGCTGTACAGACCTGAGCCACTCCATAGCCTCTCTGAGGGACATGGCAGTAAGGTCAAGCTGGAAGCCCAGCCGGGCTGTACAGACCTGAGCCACTCCATAGCCTCTCTGAGGGACATGGCAGAAAGGTCAAGCTGGAAGCCCAGCCGGGCTGTACAGACCTGAGCCACTCCATAGCCTCTCTGAGGGACATGGCAGTGAGCCAAGGATGTGACTGACCTCACACCAGGCCTGGCAGCACGTTGGCAATCCAGGTTTGAGTGAGATAAAAGAGCCCAGAAAGGGGAGCAGGTTTTGCAGGCCTGAGCTGGGCTGGCAAGACAGGAAGCTAGGGTCCGCAGTAAGACACTTAACAGTTCAGTTTGGGGAGAGGCATCAGATGGCAGAGCTGGGAGATGGGGGTACCTGTGGGAGGGCTGTCCACTGGTCCCCAGCGTCAAGGTAGGCCTAGCCCTGCCTCCTACCATTGCTGCCCACTCACCTCGCTCTCCCCAATGAGAGCAGCCAGCTGCTTGGCCCGCTGGTCCATTAGGCTGACATGCTTGATGGGGTTAATCAGGGCCTCTGCATAGTCTAGAGGAAGCAGAAGGCCCAGTCTTCAGAACAAACCCAGCACAGGGCTCCAAGTGTGGGAAGCCTGACCCCATGTGAACTGAGGCTCCTAGTTCAGCCATGCCCATGCCCAGCTCCCACCTCTGGTCCCTGCCCTGGTCTACTGCCCCAGCTCACCCTGGTGGTCATCTGGGATGTAGTCAGAAGCTTCAGTGTAGATAAGCAGGGCAGGCAGACACAGGGGCTGGTTAGCCTCATTTCGCAGGCAGACATAGTGGTATCCTGGATGAACAGGAGGGCAAGATCATCTATCCTGGCCAAATCCCCAAGTCAACTCAGTGCTACCCAAAGCCCATGACTCACCAGAGCGGATGGCAGAGACAGGCAGGATGCGGTGCCCAACAAATCTGCCACCCTCCTCAAAAGCTGCAATGCGAAGTGAGGCCAGCGTGGGCAGCACAACCTGTGGGGTCCAGACTGTTGAGCTATGGGGCAGAGCCAGGACCACTATGCCATAGCCACAGAAACCCAGCTCACAGGCAGTCAGAAGCCCTCAGGGCCATCCACTGGACAAGATAGGTCAGGTCGCATTGTGGCCTGCTTAGCAACTATACTGAGCCATGTGTATAAATTTGGGATGTACTTCAACCCAGTCAGAAGTAGAGGTCATATTCCCATGGGACCGTAGGAGAGGGTGCAAGCTTGGAGCTGTGGTCTCTGGCAAGTGCTTCCTGCCTTGGAGATGAGGTAGGCAGTGTCTGTCCCTCGTGTGGGGAAGGAACAGGAACAACACAAGATAGGACAATGTTGTCATCATCCTTACCCTGCAGCCTTCTCTCTCCTTATTCCTCCTGTCACCCAGGAGAGGCCAGGGACCCCAAGCCTGACCATGGGACATGCAGGGCCTGGAGGATCACTTGCCCTTCCCACTTTCTGATCAGGTGCCTGGCCCCTGCTCTAAGACTGATTACAGCCAAGTCAGGTTAGACTGACCTGCCACAGAGCAGGCTTACCTTGGGGAAGTCAAAAGGCTCTTCATCCCACACAGGGTTGAATGAATTCCCCTGGGATGTCCTTGTGCGATATTTGCGCCTTGTGTCAACTGGGAGACCAAACATGTCCACTTCGACGTAGATGCCCACCTTTCTGTCAGACAGGAACTGCCCCGAAATCACCTGCAGTAGGAGAGGCCAGGAAGGGAAGTAAAGCAGCTACTGTGTGTCTTACCCTCGGAACACCTGAGGCCCAATCCCCCTCAGGACCCACCTTGACCCGCAAGGCGTTGGCCACTATGCCATCCACAATGACCTCAGTGAAGGGGTCAAAGGACTTGTCTGGCCGCCGCATGAACTCAGGCTTGAGCAAGTACCCACTGCGCCCATTATATTCGAAGACACCTGCGTTGAGCTGCATTGGCATGTCTGTAAGTAACACAGGCCGGGTAAGTAAAGTGGCCTAGTGGGGTTCAGTCAGAGTTCGAGGTCCAGGACCAGAGCTAGGATTAAATGGATGCCAGGGTAGAGATGCAAGAACAAACAGACAGGTAGGGGTCCAGTCAGCAAGGTCAGGGCTCCAGAGAAAGTCTGGGTTCAATTTTGGGACCTAGGATTACGTAAACTTAGGAGTCAGTAAACGGTCCAGGTCAAGGAGGATGTTCTGCCTGTTTAAGTCAATTTGATCCCAACTACAGTCATTTTGGTAGAGGGAACAATGAGAAAATCGCCCCCCATCAGATTGGCCTATAGGCAAGCCTGTGGTGCATTTTCTTGATTAATTGATGTGGGAGGACCCAGCCCACTGTGGGCAGTGCCACCCCTGGCTGGTGGTCCTGGGTGCTGTAAGAAAGCAGGCTGAACGAGCAAGTAGAAGCAGGCCAAGAAGCAGGGTTCCTCCACAGCCTCTGCTGCAGTTCCTGGCCTGGCTTCCCTAGATGATAGGCATGTAAGCTGTGAGATGGAATAAACCCCTTCACTCCCAAGTTGCTTTTGGTCACATGTTTTATCCCAGCAATAAAAACCCTAAGACAGGACCGGGCAGTGGTGGCGAACGCCTTTAACCCTAGCACTCGGAGGCAGAGGCAAGTGGATCTCAGTGAGCTCAAGGCCAGCCTGGTCTACAAAGTTCCAGGACAGCTAGGACTGTTATACAGAGAAACCTTATCTTGAAAAACAAAAAAACAAAACAAAACAACAAAAAAACTAAGACTGAGGGCCAGAGCTCACCCAAGGTCTGGAAGTTGAGAGCCACAAGCTGGCAACCCACATTCCAGAAGAGCTGGGGCATGTAGTTGGAGGAGTCCACACGGGTGCCCTTGGGGTAAATGCGGCTAAGCTGCTGTTTGTTGTATCTGAGGTTGGTGGTCAGGGCCATAGGGAAGAGTGACCAAGCTCTGCCAGCCTCTGCTTCAAGTCCCATCTCCATGCTCCCAGAAGCCCACTCCTAGCAAAGCTACCCATATCATCCCTGAGCCTCCACACCTCAACCCACTGATGTCCCCGTGCAGATGGGGGCAAATCCCTGGGGCATCTGCAAGTCCCTGCCTAGCCACAACCCAGCCCAGTGCCTGGGAAGGATACTCCACGAACTCCATGGGACTCTTGGTTAGTTGCTCCATGGCTTTGGTCTCCACAAAGGATGACATCTCGAAGCACTTGTTCCTTTCTGTGGGTGGGGGAGGGAAAGTATAAGGTCTGGCAGGGCCTGGCAGGGCCAGCTCTCAGTCTCCCATCCCCACTTACTTCGAGCAGCCTCAAAAGACTTGAACTTGACGGGCTCAATGTAGTTGACGAGTGTCGACATCTCCTCGGTGGCATTGACTTCACTGCTGGCTGTGCCCTGTGGCCCCAAAACCCGAGGTCAGTGGCACGAGAGGTCCCTTACTTACACCCCTAAAAGGGGGGCTAGCCCTTTCCCACACCTGCAGCCATACTGCCCAGCCACTTCCTGCAAGACTCCTTGATATCACCTTGATAGAAGACTCTCATTGCCCTGCAAACACACACCCTCCCCAACTTGGGGCTGCTCTCAATCCACCCTCTCACAATAGCCACAGTGACCTTTCTGTTACCTCTACTCTCCAATATTCCTCTTGACACTCCCTCCTCTTGTACTAGTTTCTCCTGCCACAGGGCCTTAGCACACGCTAGTACAACATCTTTAGGTCTGTGTGCCCCACCCTCCCTGTCAACTCTGCAATTCTGTGTCCTCCTTTCCTTCAACTTTTAGCTTCAGTTTCTTTTCCTCTCACCACACACTGTGCGAGAGTGTGTGTGTAAGTGTGGGTACTTGCTGCCACGGTGCACACACACTGATCAGAGGACAACTTTCAGGAGTTAGGCCTCTCCTCTGCCTTGGGTTCTGGGTATCAAATTCAGGACACTAGGCTTGTATGGTAAGGACTGTTACTTTGCCAGTCCTGTACCCTAACAACATTTTTTTTAAATATTTATTTATTTATTATGTATACAATATTCTTTCTGCATGTATGTCTGAAGGCCAGAAGAGGGCACTAGACCTCATTACAGATGGTTGTGAGCCACCATGTGGTTGCTGGGAATTGAACTCAGAACCTTTGGAAGAGCAGGCAATGCTCTTAACCTCTGAGCCATCTCTCCAGCCCCCCAACAACATTTTTTAAAAATTACTTTATTTATTTATTTTGAGACAGGGTCTCTCTATTTTGCAATTACTAGCCCAGAGCTCACTGTGTAGACAGACCAGGTTGAGCTCAGGTGCAGAGATCTGCCTCCCTCTGCCGCTGAGAATAAAGGCATATGCCAGCACATTTAGCTCGTTCTTATATTATTACATTTTATTTATTTATTGTGTGTGAGGAGGACAAGCACGTGGAAGCAGATACTTTAACTAGGGGAGCCATCTCCTTGGTCTGTGCCCTAACTCTTTCAGGATGGTTTGCATACCTCCTTAAGCTGGGGACCTACACAGATCATGCTCTAGAAAAGCAGCTGACCAGGACGATGGCTGTCACCCAGCAGGTGCTCAGCAAATACCCCCGTGCCCGCCTGTGGTCCTGACCTCATCCGTGGTGGGTTTCTTCGGATCCGATGTTTCCTCCTCTTCTTCATCCTCTTCTTCATCCTCTCGGTCAGCAGGTATGAGAACATTAGGTCCCCGGCTGAGGCCCTCCTCGCCTAGAGACTTCTGGGGTTCCAGGCTGGTCTTCTCAAGTCCCACCTCCTCCCCATTGCTTAGGCCAGGGCAGCTGTCTGAGCTAGGTGACCCTAGACAAGAACCAAGGGTCAAAGGTCAGAACCACAGGCTGATGCTGAGGAAGCCTACAGTTGTGCTCAGTGTACGTGGGGAGGGCAGGGTGCCATCTTAGAGAAGCACAGCTTGGGGAGAGGGTAGGGGTCAGAATCTGGATGGCATTAAAGCTCGTCCAGAGGGGTCATAGGTCAACGTTATATACAGTAGGAAACCAGAACAACAGCCTGAACAGCCAGGTACATAGAAACAGGCTGGGCTACAAGTTCAGCTCAGCAAGAGCCATACCCAGTGGGGATTAATGGGGTGAGCAGTTAATGATGAGGGACCTCAATAAAATGACAGGGCAAAGGTTAGCCGAAATTTTAAGGAGCTAGGTGAGCAGAGTCAGTGGAGGCTATAGGTCAAGTGTCAGAAGGCTGAAGGCAGAAGTTCACTGAGGTCAAAGGTCAGAATCCAGAGCTCTACCCTGGCCAGGCAGCAGCGACAGGTTGGAAGTCAGGGCTGAGAGGTCACCACTCGGCTGAGGTGGTAAGGAAGGAGGTCAGGGGTTGGGGTGATGGAGACATTGGGGTGAGAGGTTAAGTCAGTGCTAGGATCTGGGCTGGAGGTCAGGCCAGGCCATACCAAGCTGGGGTGAGGAAGGCTCTGTAGTGGCTGAGCTCTCGCTCAGGGCTGAGTTGCTCTGCTCCAGCGGCCTCTTGCGAACTGAGCTGTCGGGGACGCCTGTGCTGGGCCGATGTCGCTTCTTATTCTTCACCAGGATCCGGCCCATCAGATCTTGTGGACTAGGCAGAGGGACTCCGGGAGAGAGCTGGACAGTGTGGACAAGTCAGGACCCTTCAGTCACCCTTCACTCCCATACGCCCTTGCCTTAGCTCCATACCCCCATACCGGGTACTTATCCAGGGGGTCAATGAGCAGCGCATCCCCAAAGATAGAGCGGCAGTACTCAGCCATCTTGGCCTGCTGTTTTGCCCTGTGGGAACAAGGTCAGAGGTCAGAGGTTCCCAGGGGAAGCGGAGGCAGTTCAGTTTCAGAGGTGAAGAAAGCGTGAAAGGAGGATGTGTGGGCATCCCTCTGGAGTGCCTCCATCAGAGGTCTCTCTAGAGATTCCCGGGGCAGGCCCACTCACGAGTCCACATGGTTCTCGAAGGAGAGGATGACAGGGTAGGGAGAGGTCTTGAAGGCTGTCTCAGCGATGGCCTCAAGCACATCACGCAATGGCACCTCAGTGGTCATGGTAAAACCATGGGTAATGAAGGGCTCTTCCTCCGGTGGCCGTCCCTTCCATACATCCAGCTCCACACAGCGGCAGCCCCACAGCAACGCCTGGCGGTACATCTCCACTGACGATGTTCCAGCCAGCTGGCCCGCTGCAGGGAAGGCTATGTCACTATTCACTGGCTACCACGGTCCATGGAGAACCGACCCAGACCAACTCCACGGTGGTACGCTCTGGCCAGTCGGATACTCCTCCACTCAAAATGGAGCCAGTACCATTTCCCCCAGAAGCCCTCAGAGAAGGGCAGACATTCTAACCCCCAGTCCCTGGCATTCACCAGCAGGTGGGAGCAGAGCAGGCATCCAGTAGCATTGTTAGGCCTAGCTGGTTCTCCCTTCGAGGCTCACATTCTCTCTCATCACACACTCCCAGCACTGCCTGACTCCCCAGATACCTTCCAGAGCTCCCTAGGACCTAACTGGTATCTACTGTCTATTCCTGCTCTCCGTCTCTGACTGCACCAGCCTCCCCGCCTCCTGCCTAGGGGACCACAGTCCCACAGAACTGCCAGTTCCAGTGCTTTCTCTTCTTCACACTCTCCAAGAACCTCTCTGCCATTCATACTGAGTCCAAAAGCCTTCCAGACCAGGGTTGCTCCTGTCTCCCCTTCCCGGTCTTCTCTCACTACCCCCCATTCTCTGTACCTGCCCCTAAGTTCATGTTCCCCATACCCCCTCTTGATTTCCTTTCTTGCTTCTCCTGGGGCTATGCAAGTGGGAGGCTAGTGCCCTGTTCCTGAGTCACACACACCCGCCCCTTTTTAAACCATCTATCTCCTACCCAGGCATCTGTCCCTGCACAATGCCAACAGAAATGCCCTCAGCCCCTCCCCAGGGACACCTCAAGGACAGCCACCCATAAAGTGATACTGACAGAGATATTGACTCTGGGGAAGGGTGTCTGCTCTCTCTCTTTCTCTTACTCACCAGTGAGATAGGTATTGTGTGAGGAATTGATGAAGTACGCGCTCAGAGGCTGCGTCATGTCCATGCTCAGATCCAGGGCCTCCAGCGGCAGGATGCCATTCTCCTCCCCTCCTAGGTAGCGGCTGAAGCCCTCCATAGACATTTGGTCTGGGGATGGGGTACCAACAGGTCAGCTGAGCTGAGCTTGCCCTGTCCCACCCACACTGCCCCACTGCCACCAGCCATTTACCTCGCTCCAGGAACTGCTGGTTAGGCTCATACTTCTCAATGAGCAACCGAGCCTGTGAGGGCCGCAGTGGCGGGTACAGCACTTCATTGAGTCTGGGGTCTCTTTGCTTCTGGTTGATAAAGTCCATGAGCTGCTCCAGAGTGAGGTACGGCTTGCCCTTGGCACCTCTGGAGGGGCCCAGAAGCTGGGTCAGGCTGTAGCCTCAGCTCCCACCTCGTGCTAAGCCCTCACCCTGGGAGACAGAAGTGGGAAGGCCTGCACCTAACTTCAGCAGCCACAGATTGGCGTTCTGGGCCTCAGTTTCCCTGTCCACTCCTGAGCACTCAACAGCATCAGGCAGAAGATGGACTGGCATCAGCATTTGCCAGGGCTCAACTCACCACTCTGAGGCTCTAGACCCCAGGACCAATCTTGGCTCTGTCCTCCCACACTGTGTTGGCTCAGGCAGGTCCTACTACATATCTGAGCCCCTTGGTTCCCATCCTAAGTGGGATGATTAAGCCACCTGTGGCAAAGGAACGGCATCAAGCTCCAGAAACCACAGGAGCATCCTGTGGCGGTCCCCCCTTTCCTGCTTCTCTCTCTCTCTCTCTCTCTCTCTCTCTCTCTCTCTCTCTCCCTGAGACAGGGTTTCTCTGGGTAACAGCCCTGGCTGTCCTGGAACTCGCTCTGTAGACCAGGCTGGCCTCAAACTCACAGAGCCCCACCTGCCTCTGCCTCCCTAGTACTAGTATTAAAGGCGTGCGCCACGGTGCCCCCTTTCTTACTCTGACCTGCCCACCCACACCACTTCCACTAGAAAGAACACTGAGCAGAAGCCAGGGGCAGAGCCCAAGCCTGTAGCAGCCACTCCCAGGCCACTTACATCTCGAGCAGGATCTTGTCAATATCCGGTCGCAGACACAGCTTGTTCAAGAACCGCTCAAAGATTTCCAGGGAAAACTCATCAGGCCGGATGGACTCACTCTAAGGGTGAGGAGTGTGGGGTGAGAACCTAGGGCAGCAAGTTCCAGAAAGTGGGCACCCACCGTGACACCCACCCTACCCCACCCTCCCTGGCCCCGGCTCCGGCCCTACACACCCGGTTGAAGTTGAGGCCACAGGACTCCAGCGCAGTCTCCACCCGCTTCTTGTCTGCTGAGAACATCTTCAGAATGCTGATGCAGGCGGGAGGGGTCAGGGTCAGTTGGGGGGCAAAGATCACCAAGGTCAGGGCAGGAGAGAAGATGCTGAGGGGGAAGGGGTGCTCACTTCTTGACCGGAATCCGTCCATCCTGGTTCACCTGCAGCTTCAGCTTTGTGTATCTGAGGAGGCAGGTATGAAGGTCAGACCTTGGGACTGGTCAGCTGAACCCCCAGTGCTCCCCAAGGTGACCCAGGGCTCACGCTTTCCGCAGGAAGGTGTTCCGGGAGGCATTCTGAGCCAATATGTTCATAGCCAGTTTGAACAACTCCTCCGACCAGACCTGGAAGTTAGCACACGGGAGAAGAGGTGTAGGGTACGGAGAGGCTGGCGCACTCATAGCCTACATCCGGAACAGGGTCTGGTACATAGGACATCAAGAGGACAAAACTGGGAGTGATGGCTGTAAAACACCTGTAATCCCAGCACTTGAGAAACTTAGGCAGGAGGATTGCCTTGAGTCTGAGGCCAGCCTGGGCTACGCCATGTCTTCCAGTGAAGCATCTGCTTTCCTGGATTGTCTCCTGACCCCAGCCCACCTTGACTGTGTCATCCTGCACGGCCATGAAGTTCAAGAATGTGGTGTTCACTGGGTCTGGCCCAGCCACCACTGTCATCAGCTTCTCTTCGAGCCGGGCGTCAGGGCCCCCAAAGCCCAGTACTTCTCGAATCTTGGGATCCTGTGTAGTGAAAACCAAGGGTGAGGAGAAGGGTTGTGCTGTCCCCTGACAACCTTGGTCCCATCAGTACAAGGCCTCATCCCTCACCTTGGGCAGGCGGGCATAACGACCTGTCCGTGTGTCCCTGATGGAGCTGATGTCCAGCGTGTCCACCTCCTACGGAGACCAGAGTCAAGGTTTGTGTCTGAGAACTATGAGAGGTCCTTAATCTCCCCACTCAAGCTGAGGAATGCTCAACTACTGGCTAGGTCTCATCCCCAGGACAAGAGAACTAGACAAGGTCTCCCACAGGGGCTCAGGACTGAGCAGGAGCATCAGCGAACCCTCACCATATTGGGTCCCGTCCAGTACAAGAAGAAACCATTGGGATCCACACGCAGGGTCACCAGGTTCCGACTGGAGGCCTCCTGAGGGCAGCACAGAGAGTCAGGGAGTGAGACTTGGTCCTGGACCTACCCAAGCTGATTTCCACCAGTGAGTCAAGAGGAAGCTGCAGCAGCCTACAGGTGCTCCCGGACATGAAGGCAAGTCCTCAGCAGTTCAGGTTACCCAACACCCCTCCCAGCTCCACCTTCACGCTGAGTTCTATCCCAGAGGCTACTAGCTACTCTGGCCTCATCACCCACCGTCCACCACACCCTTCCCTGTGCTTTCCTTTCTTCTCTACACATGAAACTCGTGTGAGGACCTCCAGGAGAGCCCATTCCAACCTCGGTTTCCCCTGAAGGCCTGAGAGGACAGGGAGGCTAGACTCCCCTGCTCCACAGCCCCCTTACTGAAGCACACGGCTACTGAATGAAAGCAGGATGCTGGAAGCCTGAACCTAAAGCCTCTCAGCGTCCCTTGAGGCCTAACAAAAACTGGGCACCCTAAAATCTGCCTCAAAGCCCACCACCCACCACTCTGTGCCTCCTAGGATCCTCGTAGCCTTCAGGCTCACCCCAAGTGACAGAAGAGCCTCCATGACCTCTAGGAAGACAAGGCAGGAGTCTCCCCTTCTCCCTAATAGCTCTAAGATGACTGACAGGAGGGCAGGATAGCAGGAATATGCCTATTTTCTGAAAGGACCCAGTCACTGATGCCCAGGGTTACCCCATATGCTCAGGACCAGCAAAGGCTTATGTACTCCAGCCAGCAGAACTAATTCCCCTTGAAACAAAAGAGGATCCCACCTCCCCAAACTGGCGCCCTACACAATCCTGCCACCAACAGTGCACATTCCCAGTCCCACAGTCCCAACTGTGGACCATGTCCAGTTCTACACCCTGAATTTCAACAACCCCCTTTCAGGCTCTTCAAAGCCCTGTAAGGTATGTCCTGCCACCACCTCCATCTTACACAGGAAGGAACGGAGAAGCTAGGATTTGCAGGGTTACATTTTCAAAGTCCTGGGACCTGGGAAACAGAGCCAAGACTCCTGCACAGCCCCTGGCTCCTGGTTTCAGCAACGACCTCACAGCCAGCAGGGACATCAGTCAGAAGACTGGGAATTGCGGAGCCCCACCCATGCAGTCTTGGTTTACAGAAGGATAGCAGCTGATCCAGGGACGCAGGTCCCTAAACCTTCTGGCTATATGGTCCTTCAGTTCTAATTGGAGGACACTGGGTCCCAACCCCTCTAGGAGATTCCCAACCTTGCCCTGGGCCTGACTATACAGCCCCCAGTAGAAAGGAAAGATTTGTGGGTACTATCCCTAGAGCCCTCACGGGACCTCCCCTAGGGGCCTAACTTCCAAAGGCCATCCAGGCCCCTGGCTCTTCAGTCCTAAACTGTGTTTATCACCCCCACCCCACCCCGGGCCCTCTCCCTGTTTCCACTTCCTTATTTGGGTTTATCACACGACAAGGAAAAGGAGAAACTTTTCCCTTTAGGCTGGCTTGGGGGAAGGGGTCTCCTGGGGCCGCGGCAGTGCCAAGGCACCCCTTGCCCAGCACACCTGCAGTTAAGGCCACGCCCCCAGCCCCTCCCCTTAGTTCCCACTCCTGCCCCACCCAGCCGGAAAGAAACCTAGCGTCTTCCAGGCCTATGGCCCAACTGGGAAGGAACAGTAAGGAAACTCAGGCCGCTGGGTTGAGGCTCTAGGGAGCAAGGGGCCCAGGGTGCAGGGAAGGGAACGGTACGAAAACGTGGGTGAGACGTGGGATCCGGATAAGAAGCCGCAGGTGGGCATTGGGTAAGTACTAGGGGAAAACCAGTAAAAAAGTGGGGGCCAGGATTTATTGGGGTTCAAAGTTCCTAAGTTAAGGAGTGGAGAGCAAAGGTCCCAGTGTTGGAGGAACTTGGAGACGGACTAAGTCTTTCAAGTAAGGGGTAACATGGTGCTTCCACCTGAACAGAAAGCTCGCTGGAATCCTGAAGCAGGGTAAGGGGGTATCAACCAGGACAGAGTGAAAAGTGATGAGCAGAAGAGAATTGCTCAGACGAGGCCCTGGGAAGAGTGGGATCCCCAGTGACACCTCACCCAGGACAAGGATGCCCTACGTCCCGTGGGAGTCCAGTGCCAGGCGCAGGGGTCTAGGGACCAGACCAGTATCGGAAAACCAGAATTCGTCTGGCAAGAGTGGGAAAGAGAGTGCGAAGAGGGACAGGATTTAATGGGGTTCAAAGTCTCCACGCCAAGGAGTGGAGAGCCTAACTGACCACAGCTGAAGGACTGGGTTGCGGGTAGAGGGGGGACAAAGTTTTCAATTACTAGCACGACAGGGGACTCAAGTTTCCGGAGTACAAGGCTGGACTGGGGGGTTGCCGTGGTCAGGCAACGCTGAAGTGGGGGTCCCTGGCATCTAGGCGAATGTGAATGGAGTCCTCCGATCTGGGCAGAGCAGGGGACAGGCGCTCTTACCTCGTCCCATTTGATGAACTTACTCCCGCGCCGCAGGGTCTCCACCACGGTGGGCGGCTCCAGCTGCAGCGCGTGGACGCCGGGCCTGGCGCCCGCCATGGCCAAGCCAGGGGCAGCTCGGGGACCCACGGAGCCCCGACGGGAACCGACGGTGCCGTTGGTCTTTCCACACGCTCCCGCGCGGCCCGCTCTGGCCCCGCGGCGTCAGCGCCCGCCCGCCCGCCCGCCAGCCAGTCTGTCCCGGACGGACCGGAGACTCGGCGCCCGGCCCCGCCCCCGCCCAGCTCCGCCCCGTCGGGCGGTGCCGCCCCCTCCCACCGCGTCGGGCCCGCCCGGCCCGCGGCGGCGCCCCCTGGTGGTCGGGGCGGCGACTGCATCCAGAGGGAAGATGGAGCAGATTTGGGGGTCTTTGTTGCGGCCGGCTCAGTAGGACTTTATTTTTCCAGGGTCTTAGATAAAAGAAGAGAGCTTGGGGCCACGGAACTATTGAGGGTGCACCTGGAAGGATAAGGGTTAGAGCTGCCTAAGATGAGCCAAGGTCAGTTCATTGAGGGCTCCAAGTGGAAAAGGTGGAGATAATAGGGCTGGGGGCGCAGATTGTACCCCATCCCGCTCCTGCCGCACTTAAGTGAGCTCAGGAAACGTCACTCCATCTCTCTATCCCACCCCACCCGCGTGCCCTCACTTCGCCTCACCCCCTCCTGCTGCAGTACAGTCCCCCCCCCCTCCCAGGGAGCACTTAGCTGGCTAATGGGCCTCCCGCCAGCAGGCGCCCCTCCCCCGTCCCTAGCCTTGGAGGCCCAGAGCCTGCCACCTCCTTTGAGGACCCAAGCGTCCTGGCTTTCCAGAGAAAACCTTGGCGCAGTTCTTGCCCTGCTGACCCTGTGATGGGAACTAGTCTCTATGAGCCTCTTAGCTGAAAACTGCATAGTGAAGAATGGTTGTTTGCCCAGAGGGGGCAGAAGCCTCATGGGTGTCCCCAAAGGAGGGGTTGTGCAGTGCCTGGCCCACAGCAGGTGCCCTGAAATCTGTGTTCCAGCAACCGGGAGGAACGGAAGGGGCAGGCTCCTGGGCACCGGCAGGGGTGGGGGCTGCAGCCCCTCCCGCAGGGCTTGGCTGGGGGGGGCTCCTGCCTGAGGGCCCCTGTGGGAGCCCCCCCCAATACAAAGGAGGCAGCAGCAGCAGGTTTAAAGTAGAACTCATCCAGAGGGGCCAGCCAAGTCACCTAGAAACCCAGAAAGAGTTGGAGCTGGCTCTGGGGGGAGGAGGGTCAGCCAAGGAGGAGCTTCCCTACTGGCGCCTTTGCCCCAGGCTCTCAGGCCTCAGGAGGAGCCCTGCCTGGCACTGGCTGTTCTCCAAATCCCCACCATTATGGCGGCAAACTTAATGAGTCTAGTTGACTCTGACAGCAGCCTTGTGCAGTGGTGTGATTATTAACTCCACTTGAGGCCCAGAGAGGGGAAGGGACTTGCCCAAGGTCACACAGCTTCCTGAGAGGATTTCAACCCTCATTCTGACTTCAGGCCTCTGCTCCCTGCTCTGGAGGAGACAAAGGGGAGGGGGTGTGCAGCGCTGTGATCCTCTCCCTCTCTTAAAAGGGCCGTAAAAGAAATAACCCTTCAGAGCCCCAAGGATCACCAACCTCCTCCGGAGAACAGAGCCATTCCGGGTGGAGGTTGGCTCTGTACCCCCAGGCTGAGGTTCAAATCCAGAGCTCCCATAAACTAGGGAAGAAATGGGAATGTCAGAGGGGAAGGAGGAAAAAAAGGACACGCGTGAGCTCTGGCACAGGGAACCCTGCTCACCAACACTAAAGTTAGGAGATCTGGAGTCAGGACCTGAACCTCAAGCCCTATGTCTTCCTCAGGAGACCTTCCGAGAAATTTCTGGAAGCAGGTCCTTGGAAAACAGGATGGAAGCTGTTTGCTGGGCCAGGCCCTCTTCTTCCCCCACGGCTAATCTCTTGAGGCCAGACACCCCTCATTAGAAGACTCCTTCCTCCTCCTTGGAATGGTAATAGTTTCTCAGCAAGCAATAATGGGGGGGGATGAAGGCAGCCTTTCAGGCTTCTACCCTCGATTAAGGGATTGCTTTCAGCCCATGGGTCCTTCCCCAGGGCCTCCGCTTCAGGGAGGTGCTACAAGCATCCTTAGCTACACTCTGGTGGGAGGGGGCCACACTCCCCTGGGAAAGGTAGAACATGGGAAAAGGAAGCTAGAGCACCAGGCGGGATGAGAGGCCAAGGCACCCTCGGGTGAGCACAGCAGAATAAAGGATCCAGAGCCTGCGTTGTGGGTTACAGAGAGGTCAGGATCTTCTGGCTCCTGGCATATGAGCGATTTGCCCACTTCCTGGGCAGAGTCAGGACTCAAACCTAACCCCTTGTGCTCCAACGCTAGGGTTCTATGAAGAAGCCCAGGTTCCAAGAAGGCTACAGGCCAGCATACCCATCTTTCTGCTCTCACTGAATAGTCACAGGAAGGGACAAGACAGAACAGCCAGCCCCAGGAAAATGAGGCTGCCTTGGGGACGGGGACGACACGTAAGGTGGCTGGAGAGAAAAGCAGAATGGGCCGCCCCTGAAAGGACCTGGCATCTGAACTGAACTGGAGACGTTCACATTAACCAGGAAAGTCAGTGTTCAGTGTTATCACTTTGGGGGCAGAAGCAGAGCCTTTGGTGGGGTGCGCTGAGCATATAGGGAATATAGTCCTGGGAAAAGTGACTCTCCCATTAGTTCAGGCATGGAAGAGGTCAGGCTGGGGATAGGCACGTCACTGCCTAATCTGCCACAGCAGGAGCCAGACTCTCTGGCCCCATAGGCTAGCTGAAGAGAGGCTGATGTCTTGCATTGGGCTGTGGAGGGGGGAACACCAACTTACTCAAGTGCTTCCCCTGCTAAGAACTGTCCCCAGCCAGGTTCCTGGTAAGCAGCTCACCTCCCGTCCTCGGGCACACGCTAACGCCACTCCTAAACCTTTCTTCTCATTTTATTTAGTATTCTCTCGTGTTTCTCAGGCTGGCCTCAAACTCACTGTACCAAGGGAGCTACCTCCCCAGGCTCCTCTCCCTGCATCTTATTTTTACAGGGCTGGGAATCACACCCATGCTCTTCCTCGCACATGCTAGGCGAATGTTCAATCTCTGACCTACTACCCTAGCCTTTGTGGTTTCTCTCCAAGAATAGCATCGAGGGGGTCTAGAGAGCTGACTTAGGAGTCTAGAACACTGCTCTTGCAGAGGACCCAAATTCAATTCCCAGCACCCATATGATGTCTCCCAAACATCTGTGACTCCAGTTCAGGAAATTCAAAGCTTTCTTCTGACTGCTGCAGGCACATGGTGATACACATGCACACATGCAGACAAAACACATACACACATATATACAGCATAAGAGAGGAGCCCAAAATCCTGGGTTTAGATGCAATACCATCTGTGTGACCTGGGCCCAACTTACTCTCTGAACACCACCTGTTGAGAGGCCTTTTACTTTGTGCATCTACAGAAAAGATGCCTATAAGGGGCTAGGACCTACTATCTCTGTAAATCCTGAGACTATTCGGGACTGAAGACGGTGAGCCAGCCAGAGAGATGTCCCAGAAAGTGCTATACAACCTCATTGGGTTGTATGAGATGGGGCGGGGTTGGGGACGGGACACTGGACTCTACCACAGTGTGTGCCACACAGCCTTGGCTCAAAATCCCAGGTCCCCCCGTATATAGCCCTATGTCTATGATTTAACTGTGTTGCCACAATTGAAGTTTCCACGGGTTTTCCTATTTAAACAAAGTCCACCATTCTCTTATGGTCATTTGTTTAACCAATAGGACGGAGTCGTTTGCTTGAGTCAGAGTTTTAGGGGCTGGGGTTCTGTAGGGACCGGATAGTTTACTAAGGCCTGTAGGTTTGACAGTGAACAGGGTGTTCCAAGGTTGGGTATTAGCAAACAAGGTCTTCAGTGCTCTCAGCTACCAAAATTCGCTGTCTAGAAGAGAGAGAGAGAAACGGATGAATGAGACAATTTAAAGTTTCAGACAGTGAAGGAAGGAACGTGGTCTCCTAAAGTGTGAAGGATTGAGGAGCTACTGGGAAAACTAGCTCGTTGCCCTCAAAGCGGAACAGGCCGGATGGGGGTCCAAATAAACGCTCATTTGGGGTCAACTGCTATTATTACCTTTATCATCGTGAGTTTTGGTTTACTCTTTGTACCAGAGTTTCCTCCTTCGCACACGCGCAAGCTGCAGGGTGCCCAGGGCCGCGCCCAGCACAACCCAGCCACCCAGGAGAGGCGCGCCCCAAACAAGTTTGCGCTTCGCGGCGGGCTCTGCATCTAGCTGGGAGGAGCAGCAAAGCCGAGTCGTAGACTACATTGCCCACAAGGCCCCGCGCGCCGCCATCTCAGCCGGTGGGCGGTGGTCGCCTGGGGTCCTGGCTTTTGTAAGCCGCAGGGCTAACTCTACACGCCCTAACCCCCGACTTCTTGAAGGCCGTGAGACCGAACCAAGTAGGGTGCTCTGGCCAAGTAGAATTCCTGGACGCCTTTGCACTCCCTTATCCCCGGAAGCCCCATCCACGTGTCGGCCAGCTCGCGGACGTCATCTAGCCCCTTGCTGGCCGAGGGTCTCGCACGTTCCTCACCGGATCCGCGCCCTACTCGGCCTTATGCCTTAGCCCGCCTCGGTTTCGGCCTCAGACACAGAATGAGACAGGGCCAGAAGAGAACTATGGTCCTGACGGACGTGCAGATCCAGGCACCCGACACCTAGAAGTCTGGGTTTGGGGGCCAGAGGTTAAATTAAGGGGGAGACCGCAGAGCCCCGGAACCTGCAAACTAGGTCCTCTCCTATCCCCTTTCAGGAGGCGGGGTTGGGGAGGGGGGGGGTGCCTGAAGCGGGGCTGGCCCTTTAAGGGGGTGTGGTCGGGGGGCGGGGGAAAGAGCAAGACAGAGAAAGCGGCGGCGGCGGCTCGGGCGGCGGCCGCGGGGGACAAAGGGCGGGCGGATCGGTGGGGAGGGGGCGGGGCGCTGCCAGGCCAAGCCCGGGGGCTCCGCATGCTGCAGCTGCCCCCGGGCGCCCCCGCCGCCGCCCTCGCCGCGGAGCCGCGCGGAGCGGAGCCCGCGAGCTAACCGGAGCCAGCGGCCCGGAGCCAGCCGGCGGGCGTCCGGGAGGCGGCGGCGCAGGGAGGGGCCCGAGCGCGCACGTGGCCCCGGCGGCCGCCATGGCGGACAGCGGCCCCGCGGGGGGCGCGGCGTTGGCTGCCCCGGCTCCCGGGCCGGGCAGTGGGAGCACGGGGCCTCGTGTCTACTTCCAGAGCCCCCCCGGGGCGGCCGGCGAAGGCCCAGGGGGCGCGGATGATGATGGCCCGGTGAGACGGCAAGGGAAGGTCACCGTCAAGTACGACCGCAAGGAGTTACGGAAGCGCCTCAACCTGGAGGAGTGGATCTTAGAACAGCTCACGCGTCTCTACGACTGCCAGGTGCGCTCCCTACCCCGTGCCGATACCCTAGAACCGGACCTAAGTCGGTCTGCTCGGAAACCCCATCGTCAGTCTGTCACCGGTCAGTGGGAGTTCTGCTGCCAAGCCTCCCGTCTTACTTTCGCCGCACCCCAGTGTGTGGCTTTTTTTGCCTGACCCGAGTCACTAGCTTTCTCCTCTGCCTCGAACTCGTGGTGCTACCCCAGGTTAAGCATGATGTTCTCCCCAAGTCTACAGGAATAGAACTGGAGGCAGGGGTCTAGCTTGGGCTGACAGTGAAAGGTCTGATCTAGTTCGTCTCTCTGGGCTAGCGTAGACACTAGTCGAAAGGCACAACTCTGTTTCAAGTGTATAAAGGATCTGAGTTCTAGTGGGCTAGCCTGCCTTGCTGTCTGTGGAGACCGGTTAGCCAGTTCTCCCGGCTCTGGCTCTCCACCCCATGACTCCCTGCTTGTTCAGATGGTGACTCAGGCCCCCAGGGGTAGGGTGGAGGAGTGGGCTTGCCCTGTGATGCCTACCCTAGCCCAGCCCTGGAATGCAGCTGGCTCCAAGTGGGATAGCTGTTCCCTTGAGGGGGTGTGTGTGTACCCCTTTCTCCTCAAAGCATGGGCTCTTTGTTTCCCCCTTTATCAAGCATGGGTCTTTCCCATTGACCCCTCACCCTTCACTTCCTCCTCCCTCCCAGGAAGCTGTGACAGGTGTTTGGGGGAGGGGAGGGGACTGTGATGAACTGGGACAGCTGGCCCCACCAGTGCTCTAGTAAGCTAGAGGTCCTGGATGCTGAGAAGACACATCTGCTAGGTTCAAAGCCCAAGGTCCCCAGCCCTGTCTGTCTGGTGCCCACTGGCAGGGACAGGAAGTTCCCCCTCATTGGGCAATTTGCCTTGGCACAGACCTGATCTGTTTTCCTTCCTAGAGCAGCTGTCTTGTGCTGGGCGAGGAGGGCTGGTACGGTTTCCAGTTAGGCAGGGAGTCCTCTCCAGGCCCCCTCCTGCTGAGGCATTGTCCTTCTCTCCCACCCCTTCCCCAGGAGGAGGAGATCCCAGAGCTGGAGATAGATGTGGATGAACTCTTGGACATGGAAAGCGATGATACCCGGGCTGCTAGAGTGAAGGTAAGCTGAAGTCATCCGGGGGAGGCTGCCTGGAGACACTGCCCCTTGGGGAAGCTCTGCCATGGTGCCATACCTTCTTTGGTTTGGGTCTTCTTCTGCCTCTGGAAAAACGAGGGTCATGGAACTTAACTTAGCTATGTCCCTAAGTGGCCTCAGTCCCTTGGGAGGGTATAGGTGAACTGTAAGTCCTGTCCCCAAGAACTCACTATGTTTTCCCTCACCAGGAGCTGTTAGTTGACTGTTACAAACCCACTGAGGTAAGTCGTTTTCCCTGACCTTAGAGTGGGTATGTATGTATGTCAGATTATCATCTTGGGTCTTAGCCTCACTAATGGTACACCTTCTTCCCTCTTATCTAGGCCTTCATCTCTGGCCTGCTGGACAAGATCCGGGGCATGCAGAAGCTGAGCACACCCCAAAAGAAGTAAGGGTCCTGACCCAGATGACCATGGCTCCCACAGGACAATCGCTGCCCCTAACCTCGTAGCAACAGCAATACCAGGGGACCCTGCCGGCCAGGCCTGGTGCCATGAGCAGGGATCCCTGTGCCCCTGCCTAGGGGCCACTTCCCTTGCCCTCGGTTTTCCATTTTTGGGGTTTTTTATTGTTATTAAACTGATGGGACTTTTTCTGTTTTTATATTGATTCTGCGGCGCAGGCCCTTTAAAAATAAAGCTGGGATCACATGGCCTTGGAGCAGCTAATAGGCTTGGCTGGTCTTTGGGGGGTGACACACTGCTCTACAATTGTCACCACTCAACTACTCCCCAGGTGACTACAGGTCTTCCTGGGAGCCACGTAGTCATGGTGATAACCCCATGCTGGCTCCCAGACTGGTATGCCAAGTGGCTGGGGAGCAGTGCTACCCAGCTCTCTTAAATTTTTTTTAATCTGCACTGGGTAAGGGTCTCCAGCCCTTGAGGCTCTACCTCAAGGCTCTGCAGTTATCAGGAAAGCTGAGGCTGAAGCTAATGTTATTTTCTCTTCCCCCAAGCTGGGGATCCGGTGGGGTGGGGGTGGGGGTTCACTCATATTAGGCCCATGCCCCATTCTGAGTCGTTGAGCTATTCCCCCTATGCTGAAGCTAAAGTCTTAACCTAAGTTACTCTTAGAATTCACAAAGAAACACAGACTCACTCTTGGGTTTTAAATATTTTGTTTGTTTGTTTTGTTGTGTTTTGAAGCAGTCTGGTCCCTGACAGGGGTCTCCTACCCCTCTGCGGCCTGCTACAGTTCTGAACGTCGCTCAATCTTGAGCAGCTCCACCTCAAACACCAGGGTTGCTCCACCTGAAGGGAGAATTCTGGTCAGACTGGGACCTGGGACCTGGGACCCAGGGAAGGTCATGGGGTGGGGGTGTCAGGGGTATTACCTGGGATCTTTGGGGGAGCTCCCCTCTCTCCATACCCTGTCAAAAACACATAAAAACACAAAGTAAGTTGTGGCCAGGCTTCCTTCTAGCCCCCATAAAGGATAAGCTTGCCATAGGCAGGCGGAAATAGGGGGTACAGTGGAGGAGGACAAGGTCGCAGAGGGTCACACTACAGCTGAGTCAAGCCTTGCCCGGTCTGGCTGCTGAACACGGGCCAGACTTGGAAGTGGCATATACTAGGACAACTAGATAGTGTGGGGACCCGTGGGCTGAAGTGGCCTTAACCACTTTAGGGACATCTAAGTGCCCTGCTCCCCCTCCCCGAGTCCTCCTAACCCCAAGGGCCTCTTACCCAGCTCAGATGGAATCACCAGCTTCCGCTTTTCCCCTTCACACATCCTGCAGGATGATACATGCTCAGCACGTGGGCACCCAGACCCTTGCTCCACAAAAGGACTTTTCCTCCCACAGCTTATTTCCTGCATCACTGCAACATGTCCCCAGACTCACCCCAGCAGCCCCTGGTCCCAGCCCTTGATGACCTGGCCAGTGCCAAGGGAGAAAACAAAGGGCTGGTTCTTTGGTAGACTGCTGTCAAACTCTGTCCCATCTTCCAGCTTCCCCTGTGGGATAGACGGCGGGAAAACTAATAAGGAGAGGTGACCAACCACTCCAGAACCCCTTTCACCCAGTCACTCTCTCTACCCCGTCGATGGAGTCACCACAGCACTAGTAGTTACATTTCTTAAAAGAGACGGTGCCTTAGTAGCCCAGGTGCAGTAATTTTCATGCTAACATCTAGATGATGAGTAGGAGGAAAGGCAAGGGCAGACTCCTGGAAAAGAGCTACAGGCCAAAGGGCTCAAGGTCATCTACCTAATTGAAAAAAGAATGAGATTCCCAGGGCTGGAGAGATGGCTCAGAGGTTAAGAGCATTGCCTGCTCTTCCAAAGGTCCTGAGTTCAATTCCCAGCAACCACATGGTGGCTCACAACCATCTGTAATGGGGTCTGGTGCCCTCTTCTGGCCATACACATAGACAGAATATTGTATACATAAATAAATAAATAAATAAATAAATAAATAAATAGAAAGAATGAGAACCCAGTCTCTTCTGGGTTCCAGGAACTGTCATTGCCCCAGAAGCTCCACCCTGATACCTACCGTGTAGTGCATGTGTAAGACATCTCCCTTTCTAGACTTGATGGGACAGTGGTCCACGCGTTTCTTCACTCCAATCTGTAGCTTGCGTTTGCCTTCTGCCCCCGTGGCTGTGGCCAGGGAACTCAGGCAAATGGACAGTATTGTCAGGACCCAGCTCAGCCTCATGTCTCTGTAGACACAGTCCCCAACCCCAGACCAAGAGGGGAGAATCATGGAACTCCAGTCAGTATCAGGAGGATGCCACTCCCATTGTATTTTACCTGTTCCTGGTGAATCCCACTGTCACCACCCTTTCCCCGGGGCTCTGCGGCCACACTTACCAGTCCCGTGAGAAGGGGGCTTGGCCGAGGACCCCAGCAGCGAGGGGAGGGGGTCAGGGGAGGCCACAGCAGCCAGGGCCCCGCCCCTTTACTCAATACCAGACCTTCCCTTCCTCCCGGTCCCCATCTCCTTTCTTCAATTCTCGCTCGCCCCTTTACGCAAAGTCCAAACCCTATCTGGTTGCCCCGGATTAGTCCCGACCGGAGGACCCCACTCCCGCCACACCCAGCTGCCTCCTGTCCAGCACACCCACACCTCTGCCGCTGCTGCAGGTGGCCGGCCCCGAGGCACCCATACATCTCCGCTAGGCGGCTCTTGGGAGCCCCGGTCCTCCGGAGGTACACCCCATCCCGGGGCCGTGCCTCCTCCACCAGAGGTGCCCCCCCAGCTC